CACATCATTTTAACAAATAAAGTAGATGAAATATTCCCGTAACACAGCTGAATATTCCAATCCGAACGTAGCTCCACGTTAGGAGTCATGATGTAATATTTTTCCCCGCAAATCACGCCTAAATGGCTTCCCTCTTCCCCAGTTTGCTTGAAACCATCATCAAGCTTCCCCTTGCTCCTCTCTTGCACAAAACCCTAGCGATACGTTCGCGACTAAGCTAGCTGGAAGGCAACGACAACATCACAGCGTACAAAGAACTTTCTAAAACTCCCATATATAACCCCCTTTCCACTCTCTACCACCTGACTAACCCTCGTCTTTCTCATCTATCTGCCATCCTCGTGCGTTTCAGCTTCTCTAAATCCCGTAATTCACCTTCCAACGGGATTTACTAAATCATGGATTTAAGACAAAATGGAGGAGACAAGGGGTTTAATATCCTGTAGGATTTAAAGTAGCCATCTTTGTTAATTGACAGGACTTGGGCTAAATCTTGCTCAAATCGTGCTCAAGTCATGACCACCCCTTAAAATTTCGAAATTATTCATTTTTATTTCTTAACCACGCGTGATAAAAGAAAACCAATCAATTTATCAGTTTTTAAATAGATTTAACATTTGCTATGCCCCTTTAGCTGATGCAACTTCGATCATTCATGGTCTTGATTCCATGGCAGTGATCTGTGTAGGCAATACTTACCAGAGAGAAGGGCGACTTGCTTGGGAGTCAGCCTAGCAGAGAAGCCACTTGCCGCGTAAATATAGTGATAGACTACCGCATCCTTCGCCGCCTCCTCGCTGACAAAAAAAGATACACATGACTATAAAATAAAAAGTATAAAAGAAAAAAAAATCTCTGGTAACAACAACTGAGAATAAAAAAAAGAATAAGAAAAAACAGGGAAGGAGATGGGCCGACCTGCCGATGACTGAAGCAAGCGTCTTGATATCGAAAGCCTCAGGCTCTTCATCCTCCGGCCTGATCAAATGCACGATGTGGACAGACGTAGATTCGTCCTCAGCCTCGCAAACAGCCTCTTCTGGAACCAGATCGTCTTTATTCTCGGAGGCGTCGTTTGTGGTGGTGGTGGCGGAAAACTTGTACTCGGCTTGATATGCCATTTCAGGCTCCACATCTGTCTTAACCTCGGAAGCTTCGTCTGTGGCTAACGAGCCGAACTTGGACTTCGGCCGAGATACCATTTCAGGTTCCACAACGGCGGCAACGTCTATGACAGAGGCGACAAGCTTTTCCTCTGCTCGATATGCCATTTTTTTAGTTTCGTTATGGAGGAGAAAAGGACTAGTGCGGGTGATGAACGTCAACTATGACAGCTTATAAAATGGATGGATTGCTTTCGAAGTAATTGGGAGGTTGTGGAGTATGATTACTGTAAACCGCGTTTGGAGGGGGATTGATTGGAGTGATTCATTGTCAGTCGAAATGCGCTCAACTTTTAGCCCTCGCATTGGATTCGAGTGGAAGCTTCTAGCCCTCGCATTGGATCCGAGTGTCCTTTATCATGGTCTGCTTATTCATTGGATGCCGATTCGGTTTCACCATGCAGGGCATGCAGAAACAACGCTATTTACGTATGTCATATGAATGCAGTTTTGCGTGCGTACTCCTTCTAATAACCTTCCAATAATTTAATTATTGAGGGTTGTTGAAATGTTATTGGGGGTATTAACAATAACATCTCAATAATCTCCCAACAGCCTACAAATACCTTTTGCGATTTGTGCTCATGTTTTTTTTTTGGGCTAAGGAATGTATATCATGACGAGTACGCTACATTCGTGCTGACTGATTCATCACTGAATGAAGTGATCGCCTTTTTGACTGATGAAAAAGGAGAATGGAAGGTTAAGAACAACAAGATAGTTAACTTCTTTGCTTCCCTGTTGACTAGTTAGTCAAAGGTATGACATCACTTTATTTCTGTTAAGTTATTACCAACGAATCATCTTGCTGATATAACAAAAGACAGAGCGGTATTGAATTATTGCATTTAGAACATGAAAGCAATAAATGTTAGTGCACTCATAGTTCATCATGCTCGAAGTATCGCGGATAGTTCTACAGCTAAGGCTGTCAAAAAAGCTCGTTGTTCGCGAACAGTTCGTGTTCGGTTCGTCACTGAGTTCGTGTTTGATTCGTTCGATAAGTAAACGAGACAAACGCGAACAAATTTTTTTCGTTCGGTTAGTTAAACGAACCAAACACGAACAGTGATGCGTTCGTTCGTGTTCGAATCGTTATTGTTTGAAATATAAAATAATATAAAATAATTATATATAAAAAATTTATTATATTTTAAAACATTAAATTTTATAAATTATAATATATAATAAAATAATAATAATAATATATTAATATACTATAGTTTAGGGTTGGCAAACTGGCTCGTCGTTCGCGACCAGCTCGCGTTCGGTTCGTGTTCGGCTCGTTCGTTAAGAAACGAACACGAACTTATTTCAAACAAACTAAATTTTAAACGAACCGAACACGAACACAAGCTTTGTTCGTTCGTGTTCGGTTCGTTTACACCCCTGAGTCTACAGCTAGTGGTTTGGGATATTCTGTCTTGATTTTTACTTTATGTGGCCCAAAGAAATGAAGAAAGATTACAGCCACAAAATCTTATTGGGAGGCATATGATTGAGAGAGTGAAATCATTTGTTAAAGGTCAAGCAGGTCTACTAATGAAGAAAACTTACTCAAAGTCACAGAAATGGATGTGCGAGAAAGGCAGGATAACCATCCAGTGTGGTTGTTACTTTAACTTTGTCGAAGATATGAAAAGGGATCCCTCGAGTATCCTCAGATACGATGAGGTGGATCCTCTACCTTCTTAAATAAAGAGAATGATCAAAAGGATGGTCATATGGAGTATACTACTAGCAGACTGCATTTCAAAAATTTCCATAATTATTGTTTATGACGAAAGAGATTGTATCCCTCTGCACATAGAACACCATGATTTTGTAAGCCCCTTCTGCACAGTGTCATTCATGAGCCGAAGTAACTTCCTATTTGGAAAGGAGATCACTATTGGTTGCCCATGGGGAGTTCAGAGGATCTGTCAAAATTATGCTAACAATGGGTTCGGCGTTAATTTTAAAGGGAAATGGAGCAGATCTAGCCACGCACTGAATTCCTGGAGTGCGACATTGCAGAGTGTCTGTGACTTTCAGAAGAATGGATGAAAGTAAAGTATCGTACGGGTTCTGTCTGGATCCAACGTTGGAGGAGTTGCACCAGTAAAAGCTATGAGAGGGTTGCACCTCTAAGTACACGTAAAATTAATTCTCATCCAGGAGCATGGCTTAGTTGGTCATCTTGATCAGGGGCTCAACCTACAGAGGACAGATAGACAAATTTTGTCACCTTTTTGTTGCATCAGAGCAGCATACATGATATTACACTCCATATATGATGTTTCAGATATATTCAGCATGTTGTCTCAATTGATATTTCAACATGTATTAAGTCTGTAACACCTTTTTGAAGCAGATTAATGAAATTTCTTTTAGATTTCAACATATTTTCAAATTGCCTTTTTTGTGCGATTGATAAGGAGCCGTGAAACCATACGTTGGTTTTGAATTATAATGAACAAAGAACAATACAACGAAAGTATGATATTAAAATTTTAATTTTTTTTAAAAATCAACCAACAAAAAATTAAAATTTTAAAATATATTTTGATAATTAAAAGTGATAAGGACAACAAAAAAAGAAAATGATAGATTTGGTGAGTTTGTTCCTCTCATGTTTGAGGTTCCTCACTCCCCGCTTGCGCAACACGAATGCCTTTATCTACATGAATTTGTCACAACCCCCACGAAATATCGACACTTTAGTGCATCAGCTGCAGGAGCATCTACTTCTCACTCTGTGATATGCCTAAAATATATAGTGTTTTTAGACACATTTTTATACCTATTTTTGAGATATTTGCGCTTTAATGGAAGATATTTTTGTATTTTTCTTCCAGGTACAGGTAAAAAGGTGAAAAATGATCAAATTTGGAGCAAATAGGACAAAAATGTGCAAAAGTGTTTTGGTGCCTAAGCGCTAGATTTGAGACTTAAGCGCTAGTTAAACAGAGAAGGTCGTGCCAAAGTGTCAGAACAGAGAAGGTCGTGCCTAAGCGCCAGAGGCCCTGCGCTTAAGCGCCACTAGCAGTTATTAGATGAGTAAATTTGATTTTTGTAAATTTTGAAGAGGTTTTTTAGGCACATATTGGTTTAATAGCTGGTTACAACAACCATGGACAAAAATTATTGTGAAAGGATGCATTGCTTGAGGAAATACATTGAATCAAGTCATATTTTGAAGAGATACCAAAACACCTCTTGGAAAATTATAAAAGAAGGAAGAGAAGATATTCAGAAGAGTCCTAAAAAGGTCCGAAAAGTACTGGGAAAGTTTCGAAAGTTCTAAATTTGGGGAGTTGTTGGAGAGATTTTTAGGCACCACATATTTATCCTTTTTATTTTAGTTTTATATTGAGAATGTTGTAAAAGAGAAGAGATTCAAAGTAACTTCAAGAGTTTGGTGGAGAACTTGAGATAAGTTTTTTTTATCTTTTGTTTTAGACTACTTTTGATTTTAATTGAGACTTGTTGTTGGTTTGACAGTGGTTTCTATTTTTAAACTAAAGTGTGGTTTTGTTTTCTCCATGAATTTTGAATAGTTTTCTTTATCTTTCTTTTTAAAATGATAAGTAATTAAGTGTTGGATGAAATTTAAGGAGAGTATTGATCTTTAATGTTGGAAGAAGTTGTGATGATTCAATTCCATGTACTTCATTTACTTCTTGATTTGGTCAATCCAGATGTTAAAATTTGTTGTGAGAACATGTAAGAACTAGGCTGGTATTATCTCGGTCAACAATTGGAAATAATCACATGTGGTTGTATGAATGAGTTTGTAGTTCATATGATTGAGTGCAAATAAATAAAAAAATATTCATTGAAGGGTGTAGAGTTATAGGACTTTAAAGTGACAGGTTAAAGCCCCTAACTTAATTTATTATTGTAGGTTCTGATATGAGATGTTAGCCCTTAGGTGGAGGGAATCGAGGGAACTCTAAAATGAGAGCTAGTATCTTCCCTGTCTAGCCAATCTTCAGAACTATTCAAACTTTAAATTAGCAAATGTTCTTTATAACATCTCTAGTAAGGGTAAAGAATATTATTGCTCATATTTCCATAATAGAATTCCTATACTTATTACTGATTCATGATAAGGAGAAAGATGTTTTCATATTTAGTGCTTTTCTTCTACAAAAACTTAAGTTATCTTTGTAAGTTTGTTCTGTTTTTATTAAAATATTAAAATTACCAAAAATACTTAAACTTTCTTTACTGCGAAAATGTCTTTAATTTAAACAATTGTCTTTTTAAAAATAGAAAGTTTTCCAAAAAGTGCATATTGAATATCTTCCTTGTGGGTTCGATATTCAGGTCTTAATCAAAAAGTCCTATATTACTTGATAACGATACGTATACTTGCGTAGTATTCCAATACATATAAATTAAAAGTTAAATTCTTATTTCTTCAAGATCAAGTTTTTGGTTTTGTTGTGAAATAAGGAAATATAAGTGAAAAATATAATCATAATTATTATTATACTGTTGCATATAAGCAGTTTTAAGATCAAATTTTTGGCGTCGTTGCCGAGGAAGTGAAGTGAAGACTGTAAAGAATCTATTGATTTAAAAGCAAAATTCTATTTTTTAGAAAGTCTTATTTAAAAATTAAGTTATTGTATTTTATGTTTTGTGTGTTTAGTTTTATTTTATTTTATGTTAGTGTATGTGTAGTTCAGGTTCTGAAGGACTAATGTGCTACGATTTTAAATTAGTGAGAACTGTTAGAAAAATCAGAAAAATTAAAAAAATTAAAAATCTTGAAAAATCCAAAAAAATTATAAAAATAGCAAACCATAATGATCAAAATGCTGAAATTCATCAAGAGTTTAGACCCTTAAGAGATTATGCCAACCCTACTGTAGATAAACTTCATTGTAGTACTAAAAAACCTACTATAGTAACTAATTCATTTGAGATTAAACATGCTATTATCCAAATAGTATCAAACAATCAGTTTGGGGATCACCAATTAAAGATCTAAATTTACATCTTGCCAATTTTTTAGAATTATGAGCTACATTTAAATACGATGGTGTATCAGATGATGCCATAAGACTTAGGTTATTTCCTTTCTCACTGAGGGATAAAACTAAAATGTGGTTGAATTCGTTATCACCTAGATCTATAAGAACTTGGGGTGATTTACCACAAAATTTCCTTGCTAAATATTTTCCACTATAAAAAACTGTAAAACTTAGAAACTATATTACATCTTTTAATCAGTCTGAAGGGGAATCTATTTATGAAGCATGACAGAGATTTAAAAAACTCTTAAGAATGTGTC